TTCTGAATGACTTCTAGAGCCTTCTTATTTTGAGTTCTAAAGCATTTGGGACCAGGGAATCCTAAGAAATACCCTGCTTTAAAAAAAAAAAGAATCCATGAGGCAACCTGACTTTTAGATAAAAACTTAATAATATCTTATAGTATACAATATTGTATGTTATTGAAAACGTTTTCCCATATATTATCAAACTGGAAAATAGAGATATAAGAATGACATTAAGTGAGTCACCCAAGGTAACATCAAGATAACATTGATAGCAGAGCAGGAATTATAATTTATGCTCACAAATCTCAATTTTTTGATTTATCTCCACAAACACACCACCTCTAAGATGTGAAATATTTTGTAGAGTATAAAATTTTTAAAATTTAAACTTAAACCTGTTTAAATTTAAACCTGTAGAAAGTTAAGATTTTTTTTTTAATCCTTCTATGCAGTCAAAAATTCCTCACAGCAAAATATCTTTTCCTTCTGCATTCTCCTTGCTCTTTGCCTAGTTAACTGGGTATTTTCCATCATTATGCTGTATGTAAGCTTACTTCACTCTGCTAGACTTTCTGAAGATAAAACTTAACTGAAATGTAGATTTCCTTAAAAACATTCAGTTTCTAATCCACCCTCATATAACCTGTAACCTAATTTTTATCTCTTCCTTAAATAAAATAAGGTCCTTCATCTCTGAGTTCTCAGATCAGTAAGTAGACTTTTGAGTGTAGCTATCAGTCAAAAATCATTTGAATTAATTAACCTGTCATTCAATAACCAAAGACCATGAACTTAGCCATTAACTCACTACATCCTCCCTTTTTATACCATCTTCTCCCTCCAAAAATACGCGCACACACACACACACACACACACACACACACACACACACACTCACACACCAGCCTTTCTCCAGTTCTAGGTACATAAGGAGTTAAAAGCATGTAACACTCTCAGCATGTGTCAGCTGGGGTGCTCTCAAAACAAATACTCTACCAGTGAGGAATCTTTCAAACCACATATTTACTTCAAATGAAAACAGAAATAAAAGAGCAAGGGGGTGGGGAAGAAGGACAGAATTGACTTACGAAAAATGAGGATCAGAACAGCGCAAATAAGCATGAATGCTTTGCTGATAAAGGTTGCTAGGTACAGTACTTAAAACCAGAACATGGCCTTGATGCAAAGTTACCTATTGCCAGGGCCTGTGATCCCTCATCATTTTGATTGTTACTGTTTTCGAGGTGACTGAAACATACTACTCACAGCATAATACACAATGAGCAGGAAACATTTCTCAAGCTATTCCCAGTGTTCTCATTTCTTCTTATTTTTGTATTTAATGTAAGGTTTCCTCTGAGTTATTACATCATGCTGTTATACTTAATATTACCACTTTAAACCTCATACAGAAATGTATCTTATCAGTTCAAGTAGCAACCACCGTGCAGAAAGAAGAGCAATCCATCAATATGGTAAAAACTGAAATAAACATTCAGAATGGAAATTAATTTGAAGCCTTTCTATAAATATTATCATTAAGGAAATATTTTGATTCAGAGACTCACAAAAAAAAATTTTAGGTATGTATATATATATATATATATGTATCTATGTATATATGTATTTATGTGTATATATATATATACATACTAGACAACTATTCAGCCAAAGAAAAATCAGTATAGGTCTCTAAACAACAAAGAAAGGTGACTTCATAAAGTGATGTCTTAAGATTTCTTATGTGAGTGATGCAATTAATAAACCTTCTTAGCCAACAGACCACCTTAATTGTTCCATTAATTGCTGAGAAAGAATTTGTTCCAGTTTACTGAGTGTATTTCACAAAATTTTATATTCAAATGATTAATTTAATACCCTAAAATCTAGAAAATGGAGAACGTCTCCTCCCATTCATAGTCACTTTTTTTATAGGTGGCAAGATGGAGTTCCATACAACTAGATGCGGAGAAAACATTGCAGGACAATTAATCCGAAAGATTTGGAAAAGAACGAGGTTCCTCTGTCACAGAAATTAACAACTTCTCTGCCCTCTAGTGGCTACAAAACCAACTACAATAGTATTTTTAAAAATGTCTCTAAGAAATCAGGTACTCTTCCCCACCTCCCCTTGTCAAATAAAAATTTTTTAAGGTAACTAATTGCTCTTCATAAAATGTTAAAGGTATTGGACAAATAGCTGTAGTTTCCCAAACTAAACTTTGAAATAGTTGAGTTTCTAATCTTGGCCTAAACTTTTTTAAAAGCCTAGTTTTCCCCCCTCCTTTTTTTTGGAGGGGGGAGCAGGGCTCCGACGTGAATTTTACTGCGTAAAATATGTTTCCTTTCATTTGAAACACCATTAAATATATTGTATTTTTATATTATTATTTAGGTCTCTATTGAAAATTGTCAAATATGTGATAAATGTGTGTTATTTAATGAATTACTTCAAAGATTTCCTTTAATAACAGAGGAGCTGCCCAGGGAATAGTAAAGGTGCCTTGTTATACAAAAGAGCTTTTAGGGAGTTCTTATATCTTCACTTCAAGAAACAAGCAAATCAAATCAATCTTCATTTTTAAATGCACTCTCCCTTGAGTCTATACTCTAGTAAGTTGCTGAAGCTCTCACTTTCCCTGCCCCCAATTAAACTTTGTAGGTCTTCTTCTTGGCAGCTAATTCTAGTATTCTCTATTTTCTCAAATGGAACATTCTTCTAATTCATTCTCTGACCAGGCAGAATGGAATGAATTGCACCCTCAGTTTGGGAACTTAGACTAAATATTTTAAAATTGCACCATACATATGATTTTCAGAAGTAAAATATTTGTGAAAATAAGAATTATCAGCAAGAAAAGAAAAAAGCGAAATATCTGCTGTCCTATCTTCTATTTTGACTTTTTATTTACTAACCTCCAAGTGTTTTTCTTCATATAAGGCTAAGGAAATTCTTCAAAGTTAAGCAACTCTGGAAATAATTCCTTGATCTGTCCAGTTTGAATTTTACCTCAAGTGATTGAGGGTTGGCTAAATTATTTCCTTAAGTGTTTAATACACATACAGCCCATAGCTTGTTGCACTACTTTAATCAAAATGGAAATCATTTTAGAAGTTTGAGCCAGAGTCTTAGAAACAATCCCATCCCACCTCCTTATTTTTTATTAATGAGAAAACTGAGGCCACAGAAGTGATACATAGTGGCAAAGGCAAAAGTCAAACCAGTGCCCAAGGTCACATCCAATGGCAGAGACAACAGCAAAATCAGTTCCCTCAACTCTAAGTCCAGTATTCTTTCCATTATTTTAGTCTTCCTTCACTATACCATGAGTGGATACCACACTTATTGAAATGAGGAATTTCTTACCAGGGAATTACGAATCAGAATCAAGCAGTGATCAAAAATCTGTAAGCTCTAGCCATTTCACCCATAAGTCAAAAAATAACCATCCTTGTGTTTGGAGAGTTCAAATCTACAATATACTGAGCTTTCTATTCCATAGAACAAAGGTCCACCTTAAAGTGTCAATCAATGAACATTTACTAAGTGCCTTCTAAGAGAGAGGCATTGTACACAGAAATGTCCTTTAACCTGTTGATTCTTAGCAAAGTAATAAAGTCAAGAGAGATTAGAGGGGTCCCAGGTCAAAACCTGCACATCCCTTTTAAAACTAAAGTGACAGAAATAGGCACACTTCTTACTATGGAGGTGCATGTGACTGACAAAGCTTTCATAGAAATCTTTCAAGGTCCACCTTGTCATCGACCATGGAAACATGACAAGATCCTCTACAAGGCAGCCACAGCTCTACCTTGACTCACCAGACAAAATCACCATCGAATAATCACTTTAATTTCTCATGGTTTGGTACAACATGATAAATAACTGAGAGTTCCTAACATGCACCAACTTCCCCCCTGTGATTCCAACAAACAATATGGTGGTGGCATGCTGGTGAGGAAGTCTATTTTTGCTTTGCTCTGGTGCATTTCTGAGATGGTCTTGGCTTAGGAAACAAGGCCAAGTCCTTTAACTAAGAGATTCCTTTCTCCCCTGTGTGACCGTGGGGCAACATTTTCAAAAATCTGGTTAGGTGCCCGTGTTCCTAGGCAACTGGTCATTGACTCAGGAGGTAGATTCTGGTCTAGGTGCCTGGAGAAGCCTGGCAGCTAGCAGTATCCTGAAGGAGCCAGGTCAGACTGGTGTCAGCTAGTGGAGCCAACACCACCAGTTCTGCCTTAGCTGACAGGATGTGACCCTCTGTCTGAAAGCTCTGCCGGTAAAAAAAAAAAAAAAAAAAGCAGCATCAGGAGGAGGAAGGCGGCCAAACACCCAGGGAATAGAGGTAGGGATGGCAGGTGGAGTCAGTCAGTCACGGAGCCAACCTGGAGGCACAGGAGAAAACCTCCACAAGTCCAGGCTCGCTGCTAAATTAGTCAGGGCTGGACAATAGATTAAGGTTTGCCTCTACAGACACAATCACCCTCTTGCTCTTCCCAGCCCAGAGCCTCATCCTGGAGAGGGTGTGACAGTCCAGGGGAGAGACAGGGAGGATGAAGTGCCTGACATGACAAGACCAGTGGGACCTGTTTTCTTTTTAACAATCTCATAGTGGAGATCTATACATCCTCCCTTCCCACCCCAGCTCAAAGTCTCTCAGGTGATAGTAAGACAAAGTAGGCGTCAATGGTAGGACACTTTAGGGACCGAGCCAGTCCTGGTTTACCCGGGAAAGAAGGGGGCTTAGCCCCCCGGCCAATTTGCCCTGAGCTAAACTCACTCCTGTGAGTTGCTGCCCCCTGCCACCAAGGTGGGGATCTCAGAGACATTTCCGAACAGTCAGCCCTGTCCCCCCCAAACCTACCCTTCCCCAACTACTCCCCCTGTCTGCCTGGAACTGAAGTTTGCCCCCAGAAGCATGAGCCTTAACTTTCCCACAAGGGGAAAAAAAAGGAAAAGAAAAAAGGTCCGCATCCCACATGCACAATGGAGAAATAAAAACGTAGCTTACCATTGGTTTGATTTACGGTCTCCCCTTCCGCATACCGAAACCGGTCCATTAAAAAGTGGCAAAGTAAAACAACTCCAGCTGCGGCCAGCTCGGCTTTCCTTAACCTAGCCATAACGCGGACACCTCCCCCTTCGCCCTCCCCCCGAATTTATTCTTCCAGAGCTTCTTCTTTTGGGCTGCAGGACTGAATGAGGGAGGAGGGGTGGGAAAAAGGGGGCAAGGAGAGGAGTGCTGCAGACCACAATCACAGCGGGATGAAGTCGCCTTTTTATTTGGATCTGATTTCATGTACCGGGGAGAAATGAGGAAGATGGGGGGAGGAGGAGAAAGGGGAGGAGATGGGGAGGGGGCAGCGCAATGCTCCCAGTATCGCTCCGGAGCTCTTCTCAGGCTGCCGGGCCAAGCAGATTTCAGTCCAAAACCGAGGCAAAACTGGAAAGAATCAAATCAGTTGCAGCCCGGGCTGCAAAGCGCGCTGCAAAGTCTTGGGCTCCTGGTCAAATCGCGATGGGCTCAGGGGGTCCTCCTCCTAGCTGTTAGGTAGAGTCCCCTCCGAGGCTTGCAGACGGTGAGCCCTGCGCGCCGGGCTCCTCCACTAGCTGGATTCAAAACAATTCCCACTTCCGAGGGAGCAAAGCCACTGCGCCTCCTCCAAACCGGAGCCAACAACAGTAGGAGGAACTTTTCCCTCCCCGACCTTGTTATCGCCCCCTCTGGGAAGAGGCAGCCCCCACTGGGTGTCCGAGGTCTCGGGGGACGGGATGGCAGTGGGCTCTGACCGCTGGTGCCGCAAGTTTCTCTTCTTCCCTTTGCCCAGGGCACGACCCCGGGCTTCCAGTTCTCCCCGCTGCTAAGCAGACGGCAGCCCCCACACAGAGAGCCGAGCTGTTTGCAAGATTCAGGCTGCGGTAGAATCAGAGATCCGATACCAGGAGGCGAGAGGAGCGGGGGAGGGGAGGAGGAGAAGGAAGAGGAGGAGGAGGAGGAGGAGGAGAGGTGGGGAAAAAGTCAGGTTGGAGCCTATCCTGAGATGGTTTCTATTTGCTGAAGAGGAGAGCGAGCAGAAATCCAATGGTAGCAAGGGGCGAAATAGTTTGGTGACTGTCAGAGAGCCCGCCAGCCGCGGCTCCCTGTCTCTCGACACTTTGGGGAGTGAAGGCAGCTCTCGCAATTTGCCTGAGCTGATGGAGCTGCCCTCTCCCTCCTCCTTCCCTCCCTCTCTCCTTCCCTCCCTCCGCCTTTTGCTCCAGACTTCTCCCACCTTCCTCCTCTCTAAAAGGCTGCCGGAAGCGACCTGGCCAATGGCAGCACTTTCTCCCCAGGGGTCTGTGAGGAGTCGGAAGGAGAGCAAGGTTGAAGCAGAAAGAAAGGGAACGCTTGGGGGACTGAGAGGAAGGAGGACGGTGGCGGGGGCCTGAGAAAAGGAAGGAGGACCGGAATGCATCGTGGAGCCTGCTGGATGGAGCGAGCTCAGCCCCAGGCTCCCTTCCCGGGTAGATAACCTCGAACTCGCTGCCAGAAGCGACCAAGACATCGCTGGCACCCGGTGCCTGGGTTCTGGGCAAGGAACGGGCGGCTGGAGATTTCCGAGTGGAACACGCGGCCGCCACGCGCGAGGTTCGGCCACGGCAGCGAAAGGATAATGGACAGTTCTTGTCCCATTAATACCCCCCTCCCCACGAGAGCTGGCAGTGACCGTCTTTGTGATTGGGGCTAGAAGCTATATTGGATCCGACCAGGGGCATTTGAGTGGTGGACCGGGCGACAATGCCTTTGGAGAAGCCGGGACGCACTTAGATTTCTCCTGGTATCTGCTCTGGGGTCCAGCTACGGCTTCTGCTACTACTGCTGCTGCTACTGCTTTGTAAAGTACCCGGAAGAGTGGAGCGTGAGTTCAAAAGAGCAGGGCCCCTCGGATCCTCTTCGTTACGGGGGCTCGAATATGCTGTCATTTCTACAAGCGGCAGACCGCTTCTCTCCCCATACCCCACGCCTCCCCTTTACGAGAGTTAGAACTACCCGCCATTGACCTGTGTATCTTTGAATGCAATTAGCACATATGTATAAGTCAGTCTCTAAAGGGAATTTGACTCCTACATCTAATTCCCTTTGCTATCCCTTGTCTGCAAAAGGTCAGCCCCTGAGTGCCCCAAAGCCTTCATTCCTCCCAGCTCAGGTCTCCAAAGCGATCGAAGAAGTTCACAGTTGAAGGAGAAGACGGTTAAGACCCAGAGAAATCAGGCAAGGAATATTTTTTGAAGTTGAGGAGGATGAGATGGGGCAACTGAAGTCTCCCCAGTACTCCAAAACGTTGAGCCTGAGAGTACAGCTATTCTGCCAAACTGTCCTCCCAACAAGTACGCAACATTAAAAAAAAAGTCGTTAATGATGTTCTCAATGGTTCATTCTTCTCTTTCTGCCATCCTCCTGCCCGCCTGCCCCCCTTCTTTTCTTCCTGTTTCCCCTTTCTCTTTCCCAGCTGTCACTATAGGTAAAACACTGGGCATGCTCAGTACCCAAGGCAGAGCTCTCTGGGGGAGTTGGAAGCTTTCACTGCACAGCAGAGCGTGCTACCTGCAGCAGCAGTATCCTTTAGAAGCCTCTGAAGAGCATCAAGTTGCAAAACTCCAATGCGGGATGACATCAAAACTTGAGGTGTAGTTTGCATGTTTACTAAGCTTCCTAGGGAAGCCTCCACACTCACGAGAAAGGGATAAGCTATGTTTAAAGAGTTCCTTCCTGCCTCCTTTCCAGTCTCTGGCGTTCTCCCTCCTCCTATCCCACCCCACTCTCTTTCTCTGACTCTGTCTGGCTGTTTCCCTCCCTCTCCTTTTCTTCTTCCTCTCTTTCTTCATCTCCCTCTCCCCCTCTCCCTTCCTGTCCCACCTCATCCCCTCTTGTTCTGTCCTCTCTCTCTCTCTTTCTCTCTCTCTCTCTCTTTCTCTCTCTCTCTC